AGTAGCAGCAACAGTAGCAGCAGCAGCAGCAGCAGCCAAAACAAATAGACCAATCAGCCAGCTCGAGAACGTGGAGAACTAGTACTGACAATGAATGCGATATGAGACCATTTGCACTGTGCGTGAGTGGGCAACGCAGCGTCTGAGAGATGCATCGCTTCCAAATGCAGTAGCGTTTTGCCTTCGCGGTGCTTTTCCCCCGCTTCCTGGACAGCCAGCATAGGCAACATGACTCAGCCTGGGTGCTGCACAGCCATAGTTTCTACAGCCCTGGATGTGTCGTGCTCGTGTCATGAGCATACAGGATGCATCAGGGACCTTGCTCCCATGGTTGCGCGTGAAGCTGCTGTGGGCTTGGAGATTGCATGGACGCGCAGCCCTGCATTGGCATGTGAGCCATGGCACATGTCTTTCTTTCGTGTCGACCCTGGGCAAAGGGGTTGGACTTGCCTCCGTTGATTTCCACTATCCTTGACTGCTCTTTGCTGCTTCTTACTGAGCGGCTGGCTCCTTTTGCCTGGCTTGGAAGCATGGGGGGCGCGAATACAGTAAGCGGTGTGCCGATTGATGCTCATACGCCAACCTCACACAGCATTGCGACACGGCAAAGCAGTGATGCCGCTTGGATGTTTCTTCATATTGCACGAGCAAGGCAGGAATTTCAGGGCCCAAGCGTATGTTGCTTTTGGCGGTCAGCATTTGTTGTGAAGTGAAGATAGCGGTCAAAATTGACTCTTCCACGCTTTACATGTCCAATCGAACACTTGAACCAGTTCTTGCTATCAGACCTGGCTCCATCGCCACAGACAAATCAGCTGTTGCAGGGACTGTTCCCTCGGTGCTCTGGCTGTTTCGCACGAGTTCTTGCTGTCCTGCATGTCTAACAGAGTCGTAGTTTCAGCGGAAGTGTGCCCATGCATTCTACGTCAAACTAGCATGACTTGAACGAGTTTGGCTTCACTCAAGCAGCACGGCCAAACACCTTGCTGACTCTTGCGGCTGTGAGTTGAGAGTTGAGCCAATGAGCATTGCATGCTCACTGTCTGACAACATGATAATCAACATGTTTATCTCAACGCATGTGCAAGAGCGAGCCCATCAACTGCACATCTCCCAAAGGACGTCAAGAGCATGCTGCCTGCGCAAGGCACTCGGGCAAATTAGGCAGCAAGCTGGCAGGCCAATGGCTCTTCCTCCCCTTCAGCTGGATTGCACCTGCAACACATCACCCGCAATGCAAAGTCCCACAGCTGACCCAACTGCCATCGAAGGCTTTGGTGGCAGCTTTATCTAAACATGGGCCTGGTGAAAGCACCCAAACATGAACTTCCTATCTCAGGAAACCCGCAGTATAGCATCCCAAACATGAAGGGCCATCTGCTCATGCTCCAGTGGAGCATGAGCAAAAACGTGCAAGCAGCGCCGAACTGCTCGCCGCAAAGCTCCGACACAGGGTGAACCGGTTCCTGCTCAGTGCCAATCATGGTCTCTCTCACCAATTTGCCAATGCTTCACCCCTGAGGCGCCTGTGCTATTTTTCGCTATGGTGCGGGAGCTAGTTTGCTGACCATGGCAAACCGCAGAGCATTCCTTGGACGTACAAATCAAAGTGACGCGCAACCCATGAAACGCCTAATCATGAACCTCCTGGGGCCTCCAGCTGAGAATGGGCTCCATTCACTGAACTTGCAGTCGACATCAACTGGCGCGCCAAGATGGACCAATATGCAATCCTGTCTAACTTGCCTTCGCAGGGCTGAGCTGAGCATTTGTCGTACTCCACGCTGGAACCGGGCGGAGGCTTGCCGCAAAAGCTTTCCTGCAGCCAGAGCATGTGTTGCTGGGTCAGTGTTGCCCGACATTGCATACTGCAGTGACACGCTCTCTTTTTCTTGACATGCACGATCACCAAGCCAAGGCATTGCAAATGCGTCTTTCGTGTGGCGCTTGCTGCAGGCCGGGTTGAACAGGTCCGCCATCGCGATTCTCACCCAATAGCACTACATCTTGAAGAGCACGTGGATCTTCCAGGCGGGCAACCTTTGAGACTGTTTTATCCAGAATCAAGCTAGTGGCGTGGGAATGCAGCTGGCAGTTGAGCGTCTTGTAGAGCCGGGCGAGGAAATCGTGGTGGTACCGTTGCAGGCACCGTTGCAGGCGTGCTCAGGCCAACTTGCCCAAAAGTCAAGCTGTGAAAGGTAGGCGGCTGTGGCTGCGGTGAGGGATGTGCCAATGCTTGACCAGTGCCCGCAGTCCTGGTAGCAAGAACAAGCAACACAAATTCAGGAAATGAAAGGACGCAGTCCTGGTAGCAAGAACAAGCAACACACATTCAGGAAAAAGTCAAGGACTTGGAAAGCTTGACTTGCTTGCACGGTCCTTGGACGGGTCATAACCTGCAGTGCATATCCAGGAGTAAACTCGTAGCCAGCTAGTGCCTTCAGTGCAACGTCTTGGTCTTCCTCATATCTAAAGTAGGCTTTTGCCACACTCTGGGCTGGATCAGGATCATAGTGAATAATTCTCACTCGATTTGGAGCATTGCCAAATGTTGATATGGTGACTTTGATGTCATCCGTCACCGTCCAGTGCGGGAAATTCTTGATTTCCAACACGTACCACTGGAAGATCTCTTCTTCTGGATGTTTCTTCTTGCGTTTCTCATTCTTCTCAATTGGGTAGCTGGCAGAAACTATGGTCCCGAATGCCTCGGCTGTCGCAAAATGGGGCAGGCTCCCATTTTCAGCTTTCAGCTCCGAATTCCCTGCCTGCGCATCGTTGAGGGCTCTGATCATGAATGCTGCTTCTCCAGGGCTCACCATAGTGATGAAGCAGGCAAGGCTGAAGCCGTTGGATGGCAGCATGTGTATCGCCTTGCAGCCCATGCCAATCTCGGAATTGCCTGCGGCCTTGCCACGCCTCAACCTCTCCATGCTCCTCTGCCATTTCCCTGATCTGCTGCTCAGATATGTGCGCCGGAATCCTGGTCACAGGCACAGTCAAATCATATGCCGGCACAAGCCATTTCAGCAACCTCATATTCAGCAACCCGTCTTTGAGAGGTAGACGCTCCGTGCTTCGGCTTGTGCCTGCTTAAAGTCCACCTGACGGTCTGTGACAGGACTTGCCAACGCTGAAAATCTGTGGCCTCGCCCCGAGCGGGGAAGATAAACTTCTGCCCAGCTGGCCCCTGGCCAAACGCACGACGTCTGCAGCACGCAGCAGGCTGCACGCCGCACGCAGCCTTGTGCCGAATGCTGCAGCCAAGGGTAAACTTCTCTTCTTTGTGGTAAACTTCCAGCCTGACGACTCATTTGAGCTACAAGCAACCCTCAAGAACACGCGGTTCTGAGCGGGCTTTAGATGACAGCACCTGTCACAGACCATGGCAGCGTTTCTGGCACCCTCGGCAGTCGTGAAGTCGACAGAAGCGCCGCGGGTATTCTTTCCTTTGCCCATGCTCTGCCTCGGAATCCGAACAAAATGCATCAGCACATGGAGAGAGTGTACTAAGAGTCGCGCAAATACACCCCTTCGACTTCACCCTGGTGTTGAAAGAAGTCCTGTATTTGCTTGGCACTCCAGAGTGGAGGAAGGCCAAGGCAGTATAAGGAGCGACCTTCTTCAAGTGCTTTCTCATGGATATCATCCTTTGGTCTGTCCTGGTGGACTGGATGCTCTGAGAATCCTGTGGCGCTTGACTTTTCTCAAGGCAAGCTGCCAACGCCACCCGTCCTTCGCTCCCTTGGTTCCCTTGGCTCCCTTGGCTCCCTTGGCTTTGCCTCCCTGGGCTCCCTTTGAAGATTCGGCTGGATCTTCACTCGGCAATGAATCCATTCCATCCGTCTGTGCCTGATGTAACACTGCACGACCTTGGACACCTTTCCCTGTGCTACTTTTGCCTTTGCCACTTTTGCCAGCCTGCAGTATGCAGTTGCAACAGTCCGATGTCATGCGCACACATACACTAAAGCTGAAGTGTCCAAACATGGAGTTGGCTGTGCCTTCCCGCGCAGGACATCTTTCAGCCTTATCCGTATGATAGCTGCTGGGTCGCGGCAGTTTTGCAAAGACCCAAAATCAATGACTTTCCACAGATGGTTGAACGAGAGAGATCGCAGTAGCTCTTCAGCTTCTTCCGTCATCCAGTCCACGTTGGCTTCTATGTAGCTGTCCAAGACGTCTTCATGTGAAGAATCTCGGTGGGAATGCATCCAATCTATGTGAGCCTGCAGGCAAACACATTGCATCTTGGGACAGCGGATACAATGGATGCACGCCTAAGTCACTTCAGTGGTCACCCGCACATATGTGTGTAAATATGAATGTCTTCAAAAAGGGAAGTTTAATCTCGGTCCAATGTCTGTGTGTCTCGGTCCAATGTCTGTGTGTATGTACATATAAATACATACATCATACACACACACACACATACACGACACGCGCATGCACATGCACATGGACATGCACATGCACATGTGCATACAGATACTCATACACGAATATTTACACATAGACGTGACAGAAACGCACACGCATGCATAATAGCAGACACACACGTACCTGTTGGACAAATTCTCTGAGTGGTCGAAAGGGCACACACTGCCAACACGGTTACTGATGACTCAAAAAATGTCTAGTTGTTGCCCCCAAACACCGAAGCATTGGGTTTCTAACTTGAGCTTGAAAGAATGCTGGCTCCGTGGTCGTGTGTTCCAATTGTCTTCCTGTCTCCCGGTCTCTCTGCCCGTTCTCACTCCAAAGAAGCGAGTAGCAATGCGGTGAAGGGCACAAGGTTTGTTGATTGCGTAATGTAACGACTTCAACGCGGTCAGACGAGCGTCAAGAATGCAGAAAACGCGATGTGACCGGAAAGTATTTCGTGCGCGTGGTGCGACAAAAACGAGTACGCCGAGAACCAGAACGTACTGAGGCTGCGCATATTGCAAACTTGCATGTCAACGTTGAGGTAGATGCGCGGCATGGAACAAGTCTTTGTCCGGAAGAGACATGGGAAAGTAGGGGCCCAGTTTCCAGTTGCCAGGTAATCCAAGGATTCACAAACTCCTGATTGATTAAAAGGGGTGTGCCGGTGTGTCCCGTTCTAGAAGAGGTCCTTCACTTTTGGAGAAACACCCTCATACTAATCTGGAAGGCTTATCACGCGCATCCCTTCACATCTAGGTGCCGACAAGTCAGTATACATGTCTTTCCACACATTGGAGCAAGCGAGGGTTGCCAGGGACATAATTTGAATATGTCGGCCGCCACGCACGGCACGAGCAGGTCCCTGTGTTGGCTTTGATGTGCGCTACGAGTCTCGCGTTGGCCGCGGTACACGCATGCGTGGCTGTTCTCGATTGGGTCACGAGGCAGTGACCTTGAGCACTGTTTTTCGCATGGCCGCACGAGCAGCCAGCAGGCGCCCATGAACAGGTTTGCTCTAACTTGGTGCATGTGGCACAATGCGCGGTAGTTCCTTGAACATGTCTTTCCTTTTGGCAGTCCCGTGAACACTTTCATGAACGTTTGTCCACGATGGCTGACTTTCACCAGTGCGAGCAGGCAATGGACATGTTGGCAGAATTCAGCTGGCTCTAAATGCTGCCATGTCAAGAACCTATTTTGCTCCAGAACCGCAAATGCGTGCTGAAATCCTTTTGATGTTTGGTTCTAACGTGGTTATACAGGTTTATAATCCTCATCCAACCCGGAAGTGGAACCACCTACTAAAATGGTCAATGGCATTTGGGCTTCTCAAATGACAAGCACAGGATGCAAACATCACGCTGGGTGGCACGGCAACAGAGGACAAGGAAAAGAATGAAAACTGACGCACAGTTCTCACAGTTCTCAACAATGGGAAAACTGAGCTCAGCCTTCAAGAACCCGCCGCGGGCTCTTGACTTGATGATCGCCACTGGGTCTTTGCAGTTAGACAGTGAGCCTTCTGCAATGACCTCACTTTCCGCACACAAACTCATATTCTTTGTGTTGGAGTGCACACGAAGCAAAACCCTTTAAGCCACGAAGCATGTTTTTGATCCAGGCCGTCCATATTTCGGAAGGTTTCCTGAAGCACTAAACCCTGCTCATACTGACAATGAAAATGCAGTCAGAGCCTCTGCTTCATCTGAAAGGAACTTTCGGTTCACAATGACGAAGGCATCGATCTCCTCCAGTGAGCCCTCATCACTTGAGAACAGCCCCCTCTCCGGTCTCCTCTGCAGTGGGTTGCTCCGCGGCAAGCATCATGCTTGCAGACACGTTCACTGGGAGAAGGATCACCCAGTCAGAGCATTCGCCATGGCGAGAATCCCATCCAGACTTTTGAAGCAGGCATTAAACAGCTGCGCCTTTCAAGCTTTCCAGTAGCCTGATGTCGAGTCGTACAGCATGAAACTGCCTCTTACAACAGCACCTGTAAGTTGCTTGTTCTAGGAATGAGTCGCAAGTACCGTTCTGTGCGCTCTGTGCAAGGATCCTCAAATTCTGCGATCAGGCAAACGTAATCATAATCAACGCCATATAACGCCATCACACCTGCCGTGCCTGAGACTTGATCTCACGCATACGTTTGCGTGTGCCGGTACCGCATGTTGCGCTGCACCTGGATTGGGCTGTTCAAGATGAAGCAACTAATTTTGCACCCGCAAGAAATGCTTGCCACCATGCACGCTGACATCATGTAGGCACGCAATGTCTGCACAAAGTTAAGGCTTGGACAGCCCCCAGGCTTGCCAATCGTGCCACGTGCCATCCACGCAGCACATCGGCTGGCAAAGCGAAGGGCAATCATGATTGCCCCAACATGCCGGGATCAAGTGCGTTCTTGGCAGATAGCCCTACCTGTCCCTGGCAGCCGCTGACTGGCAAAACCTCCTCCAATGGCCTGGCAGCACGGGCAGGGTGCAAACTGGCATTTAATATGTTGAGACCATAGGAATGCATAGAGTAGTGTCCCGAGCTGTTGGTTTGCAGTCAAGGCCGCACGCAGTCGACTCTGAAAATACACAAGAATAGACAGCAATTCACCAGAAGTTAAAGAGAAGCAAACCATTTGCAAGACTTGAAAGCAATGAGCATCAGCGTGTTTAGGATTCTGAGGGTTGCCGATTAGAAGCAGCTTTCGTTTGGCTCCAATCGTCATTCGATTGCGACATCCACAAGAAAGCTGAAGTGCTGAATGTCGCAACTGCGGTATGTACAAACATGGGTTGGTGTTGCTGTCGTTGTTGCTTGCTGCTGCTGCTGCTGCTGCTGCTGCTGCTGCTGCTGCTGCTGCTGCTGCCACTTCTGCTGCTGGTGGCGCGGTCCTGGTGGTGTTGTTTCTCTTGATGCTGAGTAGAAGTAGTAGTAGTAGTAGTAGTAGTAGTAGTAGTAGTAGTATTAGTAGTAGTAGTAGTAGTAGTAGTAGTAGTAGTTGTTGTTGTTGTTGTCGTTGTTGTTGTTGTTGTAGTTGTTGTTCTTGCTCTTGATGATGATGATGATGAAGATGATGATGATGATGATGTGTCTGTTGTCGTTGTCGTTTTGGTTTTTGTTATTGTTGTCGTTGTCCTTGTCGTCGTCGTTCGCTCTTGTCCGAGTCGTCGTCGTCGTCGTCTTCGTCGTCTTTGTCGTCTTTGTCGTCTTTGTCGTCTTTGTCGTCTTTGTCGTCGTCATCGTCGTCGTGGTTCGCTGTCGTCCGAGTCATCATCGTCTTTGTCATCTTTGTCGTCTTTGTCGTCGTTGTCGTCGTTGTAGTCTTTGTCGCGGTTGTCGTTGTTGTCGTCGTTGCTGTCGATGTTGTCGTTGTTGTCGCTGTTGTCGTTGTTGTCGTTGTTGTCGTTGATGTTGTCGTTGCGGTTGTTGATGCGGTTGTCGTTGTCGCTGTCGGCTTGTGGCTTGTGGGTTGTGGGTCGTGGGTTGCGGGTTGCGGGTTGCGGGTTGTGGGCTGTTGGGTTGTGGGTTGCGGGTTGCGGGTTGCGAGTTGCGGGTTGTGGGTTGTGGGGTGTGAGTTGTGAGGGTTTGGTTGCTGTTGCTGTTGCCGTAGTTACTGTTGCTGTTGTTGGTCCCGCTGTTGTTCATGTTGTTGACGCTGTTAATGATGTTGTGTAATGTTGTTGGCGTTCTTCATGACGCTCTTGCTGTTGTTGTTGCTGTCGCTGCTCCTGTTGCTGTTATTGTTGTTGCGGCGGTTGTTGCGGTTGTTGCCGTTGCCGATGCTGTTGGTGTTGCTGTTGCTGTTGCTGTTGCTGTTGCTGTTGCTGCTGCTGCTGTTGTTGTTGTTGTTGTTGTTGTTGTTGCTGTTGTTGTTCATGGTGGTGGTGGCGCTAACGCTGGCGAAGGCGTTGGTGCTGGCGCTGGTGTTGGTGTTGGTGATGCTATTGGTGTTGGTGTTGGTCTTGCTGTTGCTGTTGCTGTTGCAATTTCTGTTGCTGGCGTTGGTGTTGGTGGTGCCGTTGCCGTTGCTGCTGCCGTCGCCGTTGCCGCTGCTGCTGCTGCTGTTGCTGTTGTTATTGCCGCCGTCGCCGTCGCCGTTGCAGTTGCCGCTGCTGCTGCTGCTGCAGTTGCTGTTGTTGTTGTCGTTGCCGTTGCCGCTGCTGCGGTTGCCGTTGTTGTTGTCGTTGCCATTGCCGCTGTTGCTGTTGTTGCTGCTGTTGCTGTTGCTGCTGCTGTTGTTGTTGCTGCTGTTGCTCTTGCTGTCGCTGTTTCTCTTGTTGTTGCTGTTGCTGTTGCTGTTGCTGTCGCTGTCGCTGTTGCTCTTGCTGTTGCTGTTGCTGTTGTTGTTCTTGCTCTTGTTCTTGTTATTGTGTTTTGTCTTGCTCTTGTTCTTGATCTTGGTGTTGTTCTTATTGTTGTTGGTGTTGCTGCTGTTGTTGTTGCTGTTGTTGCTGATGTTGCGGTTGTTGCAGTTGTTGCTGTTGGTGTTGTTGCTGTTGTTGTTGTTCTTGTTGTTCTTGTTGTTGTTATTCGTGTTGTTCATGTTGTTTTTGTTGTTCGTGCTGTTCTTTTTTGTTCTTGTTGTTCTTGTTGTTCTTGTTGTTCTTGTTGTTCTTGTTGTTCTTGTTGTTCTTGTTGTTCTTGTTGCTCCTCTTCTTGTTCTTGTTGCTGTTGTTATTAGTGTTGCTCATGTTGTTCTCGTTGCTCTTGTTCTTCTCGTTGTTCTTGTTGTTCTTGTTGCGCGTGTTGTTCTTGCTGCGCTTGTTGTTATTGTTGCGCTTGTTGTTCTTGTTGTTCTTGTTGTTCTTGCTGTTCTTGCTGTTCTTGCGGTTCTTGTTCTTGTTGTTCTGGTTGTTCTGTTTGTTCTTGTTGTTCTTGTTGCTCTTGTTCCTCTCATTGTTCTTGTTGCTCTTGTTGTTCTTGTTGTTCTGGTTGTTCTTGTTGTTATTGTTGTTAATCTTGCTCTTGTTCTCCTCATTGTTCTTGTTGTTCTTGTTGTTCTTGTTGGTCTTGTTGTTCTTGTACTTCTTGTTGTTCTCGTTGTTCTTGTTGGTCTTGTTGTTCTTGTTGTTCTGGTTGTCCTTGTTGTCCTTGTTGTCCTTGTTGTCCTTGTTGTCCTTGTTGCCCGTGTTGTCCTCGCCGTCGCCGTTGACGTTGCCGTTGTCGTTGTCGTTGTCGTTGTGGTTGTCGTCGCGGCGGTCCTTGTCGTTGTCGTTGTCATTTGTCCTTGCTTTTGCCCTTGCGCCTGTCCTTGTCGCTGTCGCTGTCGCCGTCGCTGTCGCTGTGGATGTGGCTGTGGCTGCGGCTGCGCTTGTTGCAGCGGCTGTGGCTGTTGTGGCTGTTGCGGCTGTTGCGGCTGTTGCGGTTGGTGCGGTTGTTGTGGTTGTGGCGGTTGTCGTGGTTGTTGTGGTTGTTGTGGCGGTTGTTGTGGTTGTTGTGGTTGTTGGTGTTGTTGGTGTTGTTGGTGTTGTTGTAGTTGTAGTTATAGTTGTAGTTGTAATTGTAGCTGTTGCAGTTGTGGTTGTGGTTGTTGTTGTTGTTGATGTTGTTGATGTTGGTGGTGTTGTTGGTGTTGTTTTTGTTGGTGGTGTAGTTGTAGTTGTAGTTGTAGTTGTGGTTGTGGCTGTTCTTGTTGTTGGTGTTGGTGGTGGTGGTGTTGGTGGTGTTGTTGTGGTTGGTGTTGTTGTTGCTGTTTCTGTCGCCGTCGCTGTTGCTGTTGCAATTCCTGTGTTGGTTCTTGTTATCGGTCTTGTTCTTGTTCTTGGACTTGTTCCTGATCTTGCTGTTGTTGTTGGTGTTGCTGCGCTTGTTGTTGTTCTTGTTGTTGCTGTTGTTGTTGTTGGTGGTGGTGTTGTTGTTCTTGTTCTTGTTCTTGTTCTTGGTGTTGGTGTTCTTCTTCTTGTTCTTGTGAGTGTTGGTGTTGGTGTTGTCGCTGGTCGCTGGTCGCTGGTCGTTGGTCGCAGGTTGCTGGTCGCTGATTGCTCATCGCTGATTGCTCATCGCTGGTTGCTCATCGCTGGTCGCTGGTCGCTGGTCGCTGGTCGCTGGTCACTGGTCGCTGGTCGCTGGTGGTTGGTCGCTGGTCGCTGGTCCCTCGCTGGTCGCTGGTCGCTCGCTGGTCGCTGGTCGCTCGCTGGTCGCTCGCTGGTCGCTCGCTGGTCGCTTGCTGGTCGCTCGCTGTTCGCTCGCCGGTCGCTCGCCGGTCGCTCGCTGCTCGCTCGCTGGTCGCTCGCTGGTCCCTCGCTGGTCGCTCGCTGGTCGCTCGCTGGTCGCTCGCTGGTCGCTCGCTGGTCGCTGGTCGCTGGTGGTCGCTGCTTGCTGGTTGCTGCTGTCGCTGGTTCCTGGTCCCTGGTCCCTGGCCCCTGGTCCCTGGTCCCTGCTTGCTGGTCGCTGGTCGCTTAGTCGCTGCTCCCTGCATGGTTGCTGGGCGCTGGTCGCTGGTCGCTGGTCGCTGCTAAGAAGCCTCGCAGTCAGATAGCTTGGAAATAGAAGATAGTATGTAGCTATAAGGCTGTTTATCTGGTGTTTAAGTCATGTTTATCTCAGATAGGTTTGGCTATGGTCCGCCGGAGATATAGTAGACTTGGGAGTAGCTAGTCAGGAAAGCAAAAGATAATAAGTTTGTGTATCTTGCACACATCTACTAGCAAAAGATATAGAAGATATTAAAAGATAATATATTTCTTATTTGTTTATCTTTTTTATCGTTTGTTTGATCTTTGTTTATATATGTTGTTATCTTTTTTTTATATTTTTGTATCTCTTATCTTTTTGTTCAGCTTTTTCATGTTTTTCATCTTGTTTGTCAATTTAGCATAGGGCAGCACATG